GTAACAGAACACAGTACAGTAGAGTAGAGTAATTGCAAAGCCAATTAGGTTCACACAGTCGCAGCAGCAGCAACGGCAGCAACAGCAGCAGCAGCAGCAGTAGCAGCAGCAGTAGCAGCAGCAGTCGCAGTCGCAGTCGCAGTCGCAGTCGCAGTCGCAGTAGCAGTAGCAGTAGCAGTAGCAGTAGTAGTCGTCGTCGTTGTTGTCGCCGTCGTGGTGGTAGTGGCGGTGGTAGTGGTGGTGGTAGAGGTAGAGGTGGTGGTGGTGGTGGTGGTGGTGGTGGTGGTGGTGGCAGTGTGGTGGTAGTGGTGGTGGTGGCAGTAGGAGTGGCTTTGCTAGTTTTATTTGTAGTTCTCGTAGTTTTGTTGTTATTGTGGTGGTGGTGAGGTAGCAGCAGCAGCAGCAGCAGGAGCAGCCGGAGCAGCTTATCAAGTTCACTGACAGACTCTTTCAAACATGCTCCCGCAACGTTTATCAGGGACAGGGACAGGGTGTGAAAAGTAGCAAGGATGTGGCTCTGGGATGTCTTTGTGGCCTTCAATTCTGTGTGTAGGGTCTGGAAGTAATCTTGGGGATTAAGGCCGGTGACATGAAATTCAGCTTAGAATTCGCAAGCCTTGACATCCCCGACCCCAAACCCGAAATCCCAGAACCCTAAACCCTAAACCCTAAACCCTAAACCCCAGAATCCTCAGACCCCTTCGGAAAGCTTCGAGGCCGGGATGCCCCAAAGTTCAGGCGACGCCCTGCGCGAGAAGGAGGTCGAATCACGGGGCCACGGGGGACAGAGGGTTTAGGGCCTCAACAGGCCTCGCCCCAAGCTTCTTGCGTTTTAGGCTTTAAGGTTTTAGGTTTTAGGGTTTTGGGGTTTGGGGTTTCGGGTGTGTACGGTTTAGCATCCTAAAATGCAAGATCGGTAAGCCAGAAGGCTGTACATGAATCAGTTCATTGCGAGTGCACCAACAACGCCAGATCGGGGCATGTTTGCTTTGCAAAGGATTGGTGGGTTGGGGGTTTCGGGACTTCGAAGGTCTCCAAAAGACATGGGCAACAGGAGGTGTGCTTTTTTTCCGGTATTCCCCGGAACACGTCCCGAAGAAATTCTCTAACGGCTCTAGCGACGAAGATCCGGCTTCGGACGTGCCGTCCACTAAACCCAGAGGCCTACGGCATAGGGCTGAGGATGAAGTCCGTGCAGTGAAAGCTGGAGGGGAGTTGGAACAAGGACTTCGGATGTTCAGAGTTTGGGGTGGACTTTGCTTAGCGTGTTTGATGATTCCTCAAAGCTTGTAGGTCTAGTCGCCGACTATGGCTCCTCCGGGTCGTGGCTTCGCTGATGCAGAGAGTTTTATGAATTCGAACCTTGGCACCCCGAACATGAACCCCAAATTCCTGTGTAGTCAAATCTCCCAACTCGTCGCCGAATTCCTACACCCCGAGCCCTGAAATCTCTTTGGGATCCTCCTTCTCTCTGTCCCTCTGACCCCCAGACAGCAGAAGCCCTCTAGAACAAACGCTTCTGCCTGTAGCCCAAACCTCGAAGCTGGAAGCTTCAACCACGAACCCTAAACTCCAAAGCCTGTACATCCTGAAGCCTGTAAACTTTGGACCATGAACCTTGAAGCCACAACCTTGAAGCCCGAGCCCTAAAACACCCGACCCTTTCGATGCTTTTGTGCCGCAGGCGGAGGCGCCCCAAAGCACGGGCGGCCTCTCAAATATACCGAAGGCGGAACCGTAAACCCTAAACCCTAA